AAGTTATATGATGAATTGAGTAATCTTACTTGTAGAGTTTCTTTGACCGCTGATGCATGGGATAGTGGTTACGGATATTACTATTTGTGTGTGACTTGTCATTGGTTAGATACTGATTGGTTATTACAAAAACGCATTATCCATTTTAAAATGCTTGAATACCCCCACACCGGTCTTAATATTTCTCATCATTTAATGCAAGCTATTGATGCATATAATCTTAGGTCCAAAATCATATCTATGGCTTTTGATAATGCAACTTCTATGACATTTAGTGCAAATTTAATTAAAGCACAATTGACCGATATAATATTAGATGGAGATGCACTTCATATTAAATGCATTTGTCATGTTCTAAACTTGTGTGTGAAGGATGGGACCCAAGCAATTGGTCCATTTTATCACAAAATTAGAAATGATATTATGTCTATTGACAGCTCTAACATGAGATTTCAGGAATGGAAAGCTTTTTGCAGGAAACAAAGGATAAAGGGTATTAAAATAAAAATGGATTGTGCAACTAGGTGGAACTCCGCTTATGAAATGTTGAGTATGGCAATCGAGTACAAGGGTCCATTAACAATTTTTATAATTAAAAATTTCCACAATTTGCTTTATTAGATGATGATTGGTCTAACTGTGAAAAATATATGTAGTTTTTACAATTATTATATAGTATGACACATTGTTTTTCTTCTATTATAATCCTTGTGCTCATTCTTATCTTAGCAATGCAAGTTTACTTGCACAACTTTTTGATGAACAACGATCACAACACGATTATGATAGATATCTTCCATCAATGGAGGAAATATGGCGTAAATATTACACTACTCTTCCTATGATTTATATTTTTGCTTCTATATTAGATCCAAGGCAAAAGTATGATGGCACATTTTTATTAATTGATATTTATTTTCATAGCATGAAATTTGAAGATGATGTTGAATCTTATAAAACTAATGTGACTAATCAATTTTTTGCGTTATAAAGAGTTTATGAATCTAAATATGGAACCATGTCTCGATTTGCTCCTTCTCAATCATCCAAAAATATAAGTAAAAGGGCCAAAGGTTTATTTGCACAAGCTGCTAACATGATGTCTAAGTTTTCAGGTAGTAAATCATCATATAGGAGAGCACAAAGCGATGTTTCGGAGTTGCAAATGTACTTAAGTTATGAATTCATGAAAGACATGGACAACAAAAGAGAAGTACGACCTCAACATCCTTGATTGGTGGAAATCACAAAGCACGAAACATCCAATTTTGGCAGCAATGGCTCGTGATATTTTTGCTATCCAAGTCGCCTCCGTTGCCTCCGAAAGAGCTTTTAGTGCATCAGGAAGGGTTTTAGACGATAGAAGAACAAGTCTAAAACCTGAAATACTTGAAATGTGTGTTTGTTTCAAGGATTGGTTTGATGCCGAAACTCGCTCCCAAGATCGTACTTATGCACAAAACGACGACGATGAAGGAACGTTGGGTTCTACCAGTTCCCAATCAATTCAATTGGCCGATGAACTAGAACAAGGAGAAGAAGACGAAGACGAACAAGAAGAATAATTAGATTACATACTATTAGTTATAGCTATTATTTGTATTATCGAACCCCGTATAATAAAATAAGCAATAAAGTTAAGTTATTCATCAATTATTGTACGATTTTTATCATTATCAATTATTGTATTATCGATTTATCGTACCGGCATATAATAAAATAAGTTATTCATCAATTCTTGTGTTATTGCACTAGTAAATTTTTTAATTATATGCATTGTTGTTTTTTGCTAAATAATAATAAAGATGTATAATAATAAAAAAATAAAATTAATTATATGCATTGTTGTTTTTTGCTAAATAATAATAAAGATGTATAATAATAAAAAATAAAATTAATTATAATATATTAATTATAATTTAAACCTTTCTTCTTCTTTTTTTATTATTGGTTTTTTGTTTCTCCTTATTTTTTAATCCTACGTGAGTTCTTCCCTATCCAATATTCCCACCGTCCATCTTCCACCTTTGAAATTCACCATTGCTGAAGAAAATGAAGGAAATTCACTACGGGCTTGTTCTCTTCACCTTATAAAAATAAGTTTTAGGTCTAATAAGTTCAGATTCGTTCAGATCAGTTCATATAAGTTGCAATAAGGTTCAATAAGGTCTAATAAGTTTCAATAAGTTAAATAAGTTCAATAAGTTTCATAAGTTCTAATCAAGTCTAATAATAAGGTCTAATAAGGTCCAATAAGTTCAATAAGGTCTGATAAGTTCCAATAAGTTCAATAAGGTCTGATAAGTTCCAATAAGTTCAATAAGGTCTAATAAGTTTAATAAGGTCCAATAAGTTCAAATAAGTTCAGTTATTAAGTTCACATAAGTTAAGTTCAGATCCAATAAGGTAAAGAGAACACACCTTAAACTCTGCATTTGAAAGCCTTGCTTATGGAATTTTGCAATTTTTTTCAAAATTATTTGATAATTTCATTTTATTTGTGCTGAATTATAGTTATTATAAAATTATTGTTGGAATTTAGGGTTTTTGTGTATCATCCTCATTAACAATCGCTTATTTACTTCTAAACTGAAAGTTTTGTTTGTTGCATTTGTATATTAAGGTTTATGAAGGGTGGGAACATTGAATTGAAATATATGTTTGTAGGTGGGGAAATAAGGAAGGAAAGAAGTCATGAAGAGGTTAAAAAAAAGAAATAAAATATTAGGAGAAATAAAGAAAATAATAAAATAAGCAAGATTTTAACTACTCAGGTGGAATTCCGACCACTAGCCTCATATATTATGTTATTGTATGCACCCAAGGTCATAGGTGGTACCTGTTGTAGGGTAATTAACGCATAGGTTAATGTTGTGTTGTTCTTTGCACCTCGTCAATAGTCATTATATATATATATATAGGGTCGGGATCCGGTGAGAACCACCCTTTATGTGAGAACACTCCAAATATATGAGAACAAATCTAAGCCGTAGGATTAGATTAAAGTAGACGGTTAATCAACGGAGAACAAGTAATGGTATTAGTGTAAATAATGAAACTGCCCAACTTCATATTTTACCCAAAATAGCTGATTTTCTCTCTCATCAAACACTTTCACACTTTCCTTCATCTTCTCTCTTAAAACCACCAAACTTTCTCTAAAATGCATTGTAACTGCTCCAAATTAAATCAAAGCAAATCACATCGATTCCTTTTGATTTTTGCTCAAATTCAACGAATTTTATTCATAAACTTATATAAAATAAGTTGAATTGGGAAATATAATTAGAATTTTTGCAAATACGAACCCTAATTTGGCGGAAGAACAAATTGAAGAAAAAATGGAATGGAGGTTGGCGAAGAACAATTAATTCGTACAGAAATTTGTACTAAAATGCAATGGTAACTTATACTCCAATATTTTCAAAGATTTTGATGATTTTTTGGGCGATTTTCGACTAATATTTTGTATACTAGTCTCATTGTGTTGTATCTATTCGAACTAATATTTGTTGTTTGCTTGACATGCTTTGAATTAATAATTATGCTTATGTTCTAAATTTATATGTATTGTTGTATGATTTGTTTGTTCGTATGAGATGGAGGTGGCTAATTCAGGTTGTTTGGAGGGTTGAATTGAGGAAACTGGGCTGAGTTTGTGTGGAACAGACTATCAGTGCCTAAGCACACAAACTCTGTGAATTTTTATGATACTTATGAATATCCTGATAGTGCATACAAGGTGTTTGATAAAATGCTTGTAAGAAATCCTGTGACTTGGTACTCTATTATCAGTGAATTTCTAGTAGTGGCCTGTATTTTAGTCATGGTAATTGGTTTCCTTGCCTTTTCTCATAATCTTTTATGAACCACCTGTAGGGACTAGGTGGGCAGTTAGATACTTGTATGAAATTTTGCGTTAAACTTAGAATTTGGGTTTTGTATTTCTTGGAAGTACTAGATTGATTGGTATGTGATCCAGTATATTTGGATCTTGGTTTGATGTTAATCATATACTGTCGTGCTTTGACTATAGCAGAGAAAAAGATTTAGAATCGTGTTCACTTCATTATTAAGACCCTGACTGTAGCTCCGTATCTTGCCGCAATTAATGTTCTTGTCCAAAACTCACAGGTCACTAGGCGAAAAAATGAATTCCCCATTGGTTCAAACCCCCCCCCCCCCCTCCCCCCTTTCCCACAGGTTTTGAACCGGGTAGGATTTGGGGGGTGCTAAAACCCCATAGATTTCGCACCGGTTCAAAACCGGTGGGAAAAAGGACTTTTCGCACCGGTTCTTGCTTTGAACCGGTGCCAAAAGTCCCAAAAAAATTTATAAAAAAAAACGTTTAGCACCGGTTCTGCTCCAAAACCGGTGCCAAAAGTGCCCTAAAAAAATAAAAAATAATTTTTTTTTTTTTTTTGCATTTTATTCACTTAAATTGATATATAAACACTAACATATATATAAAGTTACATATTTTCATTATAAAAGGCTGTAATATTACAATTTTCGTCAAAAAAATAAATAACATACAATCTGATAGAAATTATAACTTTTACTTGAAAAAAAAAATCTTCGGCTTTTCAGATGTAACAGAGAAATAACAGGAAGTTTTCATCAGTTCATCAAAATGGAGATGGTTCAACAGCGTGTTAGACATCCCTTGGTTGGCAGCACCCGCTTTAGAATAGTTAGTTATTCCCTGGTGAAGGCATTAGACTACTTGGTGGCTTCATATCATCATACCTTCATCCAAAAAATGAACAGGATGTCAGCAGGCGACACATTGCTGTCCAGAAACAAAAGCTCTAAAGTGATACAATTTTGGCATTCTATTCCAACTATGATATATAGGTTTTAACTCCCTTCTTTAACCATATTGTTGAGGAACAAGTAGTGGAGCGCATTGTGCGCCTTCCAACATAGGCATTCTTTATCTACGTAAGGAATGGGTAGATGTTGAAATCCTACTTACTATATATAGATGCTTAAAATAAAGACAATATACTAATACAAAGTATTCATCTATACCAGATTACCAGATAATTATACTACAATGAAACTGTCTTTAACTAGTTAGCATCTAGCCTCAATGAGTTACAATCAGGCTAATCTATAGACACACTTAAATAATCTTTCAATTTGTCGAATTAGTTGAGCAACCACCACCGTTTCCAAAAAGAAAGACTGGAATTCTGCTCTCAGGACAATACTACTATACGTGTGCATATTCAGTTTAGTATTCCAGCAAGATGAGAAACCTCTTATCCATTGAAATGGTAAACAGAAAATATTCGGTAAAAAAAAAAAAGAAAGAAAGATTGAATGTTGACTGACTTACATTGTATACGGTGAAAGTGGTCTTGGCTTTGGCTGTGCGAAAGTCTGCTCATTCCCTACATCTTGTGCTTCAATAGATTCAACTGGACCATTATTTGACAAACTAGCTGTCTGAGATTCAGCACCATCCGAGGCCATGGAAGTGGCCAATGAATTAGGAGTTGTTGGGGTTGGCGAAGTAGGGGGCTTCAAGTCTTCATATCTGCAAGGAAAAGAGAAGATAACCAATTTTTTTATCAGCTATTTTCCCAAATAATTTATGAGTTGAAAAGGGAATCTCAAATGCTGTGTAAAGATGAGAGCCAGCTACTGACTAGCTAAATGACTTGACTAAATTATAATCCATAGAATAAAAACTTCAAGTAAAAAGGTATTTCTATGTTGTGGTTAAATGAAGCCAAAATACAAAGGGCATCTTGACTGAATCAATTGAGTAAATGTGGGAGAATGATGCATGCATATGAGCAAATTACCTATGGTAATCTAGTTTATTCACTTGCTATTAAAACATACTACACTATTACATTTCTACACATGTTTGGGATAATCACTAGACTTCACCACCCTCAGGATAATACACTCAACTAAATCTAAGTTATAGGTCAACATAAGTTGTAGCTTCCTGTGGCTGTAGAACTAGCATGATATAGGCCTTATTTTGTTAACTTTCCTTTTTATTAAGTAGAGTAAGCCATAGAAGATAAAATATAAACCTTTTTGACATAGTTGTTTCCCAAGTCAGCTTGCCTGATGTCCTCTACATGATGTTTACTGCCATTAATATGCTGCTTTCCTAACAGAGAATCCTCCTTAAATTTCTCATATTTTCTCTCAGTTTTAGAAAGAGTTAAATTAGTAAACTTTCCCTGCAAAAAAAAAAAAAAAAAAAATCTAAAATTCAGGGGTATGAGAAAATAAGGGTAATTCCAGAAGCTAAATATACACTAAAGTGACAGTTTTACCTTTTTACAAGCATAGGTGAGAATGTGAGGGCTTGAAGCAACAAGGATACACCCCCTAACCTGTTGAATCAGGAACATGGGAGTACATGAAGTGTTGTTGCCATGAAAAAAATTTACGGATTAAATATGATTCTCTAATCTTATTATATGTTATTATTGGTCTGAATTATATTTTACTGATCAAAAGATTCAAAATTGATTGCCACGGATTATAACTGAATTTGAAGAGAATAGTGTCTGAGTAAGCTTACTTGTATATAGGCCATAAAAGGACTTGGATCCACGATACTCAATGCCCTATAAACATCAAATGGATCTGAGAAAGTTCTCCTTACAAACCGCTGACTTAGAACAACTTGGTGTATGTCACCATCTAAAATATGCTCCTTTGCCTTCTTTACGGCTGTTTTATATGCTTCAGTTGTTAGACGCGAAACCTCTAACTTATGATGGAGCCTCTGAGCATTTAGTTCTATTGAGCCAGAAGATAGTCTTGGACTGATCAAAGAACACAACAAAGACCTGATAAGGACATAAGGTTATTACAAGAAGAGTAATACACAAAATGAAAGAGAGGCTGCACTTGATTATATCATGAACCTTAGACAACAAGGAATCCAAGCATTCCATTCCATTGTCCAATGCCTCATCTACTGATGAAAATCGATCCAATTGAACCTAGTGAATGGCATGAATTTTCTGAATTCACAATATTGGCAAAAAGTTATGACAAGTGGGAGTTATTTGATAAATAGAGAATGAACTGCAGTGTGCATCATGATTAATGTGAAAGGCCATGAGCTTACTAAGCCATGGCGATTGGAGGATCTCAACGTGCATCCTCTGAGTGCGTGATTTGAATTCTTGACCTTGCTTAGAATAATGAACCTATCCAATTGCAAGCATACCATCAGCATATTTTATAATACACTCAACTAAATCTCTTTAATATTTAATTGCTTCTAAAGAATCCCAAGAATCTCTTGAATAATAATATTCTACCTTATCATATTTCTTTAAAATTTTATGAACTGCAATTGCATTGATCATGGCATAAGTGACTAGGTCCTGCCCTTATACTTGAAAAAGAATCTACATTGCATAGTTTCCAAGTTCTGGATTGCCAAAATATCAAATAAGAAAATAACAAAAGCTAACTTATACTTGAAAAAGAATCTACATAGGAGTATTTGAAATTCATACACAAATTCATTGAATTTTACCAACAATTTTTCTTAATTTTTGATTCAAATGACAGTAAGCAATCATTAACAATCCATAAGATGACAGGAAGCAATCATCGCAATCAAAAGCACGGTAAACTATTCACATGAAAATCAGATCGAAATTCAACAGAACCCCATTTGATTCAATCAAAATTCGAAAAAGCACATATTTTTAGGGTTATTTGATTCAATTATCAAATTATGCCCGAAAAATAACATATTTTAAGGGATATTTGATTCAGTTACAAATTAGGGTCGAAAATTCAAAGGGATATTTGATTCAAACATCAAAAATAGTTGAGATTTCGAACCCTAAACTTACCGCATTGACAATTAAAATGAATCAGATTCAAACAACAAGTTACCTCAGAAGCTTCCTCTTCAATGGGGGATACACGGATTAGAAGGCACCGTCTTCTTGAAACTAAACCTTAACCACCGAAACTCACTCCAACCACCCCGAAATACTCAACACTCACCCGAAAACACCCACCCAGAAAACTCGAAAACACTCACTCGAAATACGATTAATCTAGAAAGAGAAAGCGAGGGTATATATTTAGAGGGGGGAGGTGGCCGCCGCCGGTGGAGAAGGAGATTGAAGGAGAGAGAAAAGGAAAGGGAAAGAGATGGAGGAAAGAGAAATAACGAAAGTCAAAAAGAGAAAGAAAGAGTATACATTTAGAGGCAGACCGGGTTGTTTTTGTAAGCAATAGCTTTCGCACCGGTTTGGTCAGAACCGGTGGAAAAACTCACTTTTTGCACCGGTTTGATTGGAACCGGTGCGAAACTCTATTTCCCAATCCTACCCATTCCTTTCCCACCGGTTTTTGAAAACCGGTGGGAAAAGTGCGGTGCGGAATTCAATTTTTCTACTAGTGGGTACTTGCAGCTGGCATATCTATCTTGTATTGGAGGAGGCTTTTGCTTAATTTTGTTCTGAAATCAATGTGAAAGTTTTTTTTTTATAATATGTTCTTGTCCAAAACTCACAGGTACTTCACTGCTTGTTTTGATAATATGTGATGAGCAACGATTCTTTGTTCATGTATCGAACGAGCAACAATTCTTTGTTCATGTATCAAATGAGCAACAATTTTTTGCTCATTTATCAAATGAGCAAACAATTTCTTGCTCTTTTATCAAATGAGCAAACAATTCTTTGCTCATTTATCAAATGAGCAACAATTCTTTGCTCATTTATCAAATGAGCAACAATTCTTTGCTCATCTATCAAATGAGCGACAATTCTTTGTTCATTTATCAAATGAGTAAACAATTCATTGCTCATTTATCAAATGAGCAACAATTCTTTTTAATTTATCAATTGGGTAACATATGGTGAAAAAATTTAGAACAGAAAAATAATTTAAGACATATATTTAGAACTTAGGTAGAAAATTCTAGAGCATAAGTGAAAAATTTCAGAATGGTTGCAGTAAATTTTGGAACATATTCAGTAAATTTTAGAACATATGCAAAAACTATTTATAACATATGATGAAACCTATTAGCTCAACTGGTTTAGCACTATGCAAATGCATAAGATGTAGGTTCAATTCCTACATAGGTTATAACTAGTTTGCTCATTTGACAACGGAGCATTAAATTTTTTTGCCCATTTGACAAATAGCAAAAATTAATTGCTCCTTTGACAAATGAGCAAAAAATTAATTGCTCATTTTGACAAATTATTTGCTCATTTTTGACAAATTAGTAAAGAATAAAAATTAATTTTAGACACTGCATTCGAGAGGGTCTATCTAACTTTCACCATTCTCTTCGTCATCATATTCATCATACTCAGATTCAAGGGAATCATCCTGAGCTTCATTCTCATCACTAGATGTATTGACCGAGTCCATATAACAAGTCATTTGATATGCATGACAGCAAAAGAAAATGACAACCGAAACATTTTGGATGGAAAAAGGATCAAAGCATATGCATATCTTTTCATCTTGTATATCCATTCATTTTGTACTTATGGATGACATTCCAACATATAGAGAGGAAAGACATATAGAGCTTACTAAAGACATACAATGATTGACACGAAATGCTGTCTAAAAACCATCAGCATGAGGAAGATCAGAAAAGGCCTTTATATCGAATGTACATCTACATTTACAAGTACTACAAGGACATAACAATACTAACCTAGGTATTTCCAGTCCATCAGGCACAACATTCACAATATGAAGAGGATCAAGGTTGCCAACAGTATGTTCCAACAACAATCCAACCTGCAAACAGGAAAAGGCAAGCATGTGAAAAACAGAGACGATGATAGTTTCCCACATAAATGGTTTAGGGGAAGGAATACAACAATTTTTATACCATTTCAGTCCTCTGGGTAGATTTCTTTGCTCATTTGTGAAATGAGCAAACATTAGTTTGCTCATTTGTGAAATGAGCAAACATTAGTTTGCTCATTTGTCAAATGAGCAAATAATTAGTTACTTAAAATAAGAAAACATTTCTTTGATCATTTGGGAAATGAGCAATCACTTTTTTGCTCATTTAGAAAATAAGCAAATAGTTAGTTGCTCATTTGTCAAATGAGCAAACATTTCTTTAATAATTCATTAAATCAGCAAGCATTTAATAAGTAAACATAAAATGAGGAAATAAGAAAACACGTACATTATCCTTTCCACAGGTACATCCGTATAATCTTTAGCAACCGAAGAATCCATAACACTGAAAAATTCTACAATTATAAAAAAAAAATAAAAAAAAAATAATAAAAAAAACTGAAAAAAATGTAAGCTAACTAAAACAAAGAAAAATCAAATTAAGAAGCAAATTTGTAAGAGAAATAAAGAGGGGGAAGGGGGAATTCACCACATTTCTAACAAGAAGCAGATGATCCTAAATGTGAGAAAATAGTGTCCTACCAACCAAGAAAAAGTAAGAAGATTAAATAGTCCATATAAACTAGGACATGATAGCAGTCCCTATTTTCTCAAACAAGGAAGCCCAACATATAAATAAATCACTTTTGCACTTGGGGATGTCATCCTTGCTCTTGCTCAGAAGAGTGCTCATATTCCCTACAGGAATAGCAAGCTTACTCAAGTCCTACAGGATTCCTTAGGTAACCAGCTTAAAAGATGCCATGATCACAACTTCAATTTTATATATTTGAATAAAAATATATTTTTTGAGTATATTGTACCTCCATTACTCAATTTTTTTGGAAAGCCATTGTGGGTGTTTTTTTTTTTTCGCGACTAATATATACTTAGTATAAATTACAAGTATCCTTCTCTGGTAGGAGGGCTGATCAATCTTTGATTGCTAACTTATGAGTAACTTCTTTTGTAGGAGGACAAGCTAAAACTTTGATGTTTGTGCATATTAATCCTGAATCTAATGCTATTGGAGAGACAATAAGTACCCTTAAATTTGCAGAGAGGGTTGCCTCTATAGAACTTGGAGCATTAATTCAGATTTGAAAATGGGAATTGAAATTATACTACAAGTTAGCTTAAGCTGCTGCAAGGCAGTTCACTAACAGGATACCTTTGTCTATTTAATAACTGATATCCATTTGATCATATATTGAACCAGAGATCAAATGTCAAATATCATATAGCAAGAAAAATAGAGTAAAAATCCTAAAACACCCAAACCACCCATTGTTCAAAGACACCATGAGGACAACAAGCCTCATACATCAATAGGAAACAAAACTTAAAGACACATGTAAGACAACCCACAATCTATACAACCGTAGAAATTGATGTTGAAAATGTCACAACACCTAGAAGCTAGAAGCCGGGACTCAATACAATCTTGGGGAATATTAAATAAGAAGATCATCAATTAAATATGTACTACATTTGAAATTGATAAAATAATAGGATTCATTGGGGAATATTGTCAAACACTTAGTGTGCATCAAAATTTAAGCACAAACTAGTGAAATGCAAGTACCAAAATTGACAAAATCAATCTCTATAACCATTCATAACCTCAGAAATTATAAATAAAAGTTCGAATTGCACTATAAAGAACCCTAAATTAACAAATGAAGCAATATTAAAACTAAAATCAACTAATAAGTTCGAAAATCACCAAAAATCACACGAAAATCACCAAAAATCGCAAAAAAATTGACAAAAACCTTAAGTAATGAAACTAAAATCGACGAAAATCAAACTTTTAATCAACGAAAATCAAACTAAAATCAACGAAAATTACCTTGACAAAGAATCAATTAAGTTAGAAGCAGAATTGATGAAGAATCAAAGCAAAGGAAGAGAGCAGTAAGAAGGGAGCAGAGAAATTGAAGGAGGAGAGAGAAAAATAGCGCGTCGAATGAAGGATGAGAGAGAAAACGCTGGAAAATTGTATTTGAAACTTCATTTGATTGGGATAAATTGTAGCCATTGGATGCAATTAATCCAACGATTGTAATATGTCCTCACATATAATAGGGTTCTCACATAAAGGAGGTGG